GACCGTGCCGGGGCACCCCGCCTCCGGGGGGCAAGCGCCCGGGAGGCTGAGGAGCGCAGGCAGCAGGGGCGGGGAGGAGGAGGAGGGCAGCGCCATGACTCATTTGCAGGCAGGTCTCTCCCCGGAGACTCTGGAGAAAGCCCGGCTGGAGCTGAACGAGAACCCCGACACCTTGCACCAGGACATCCAGGAGGTGCGGGACATGGTCATCACCCGGCCGGACATCGGCTTCCTCCGCACCGACGATGCCTTCATCCTGCGGTTCCTGCGGGCCAGGAAGTTTCAGCATTTCGAGGCGTTTCGCCTCCTGGCCCAGTACTTTGAATATCGCCAGCAGAACCTGGACATGTTCAAGAGCTTCAAGGCCACAGACCCGGGCATCAAGCAGGCGCTGAAGGATGGCTTCCCCGGCGGGCTCGCCAACCTGGACCACTACGGCAGGAAGATCCTCGTCCTTTTTGCTGCCAACTGGGACCAGAGCAGGTAAGTGCAGAGCCACCTGCCAGCCTTAACCCCATCTTTCCCCGGGCAGTGCGTGGGAAAAGCTGTGCCAGAGCAGAGAGAGGGCGGGTGGGCAGGAGGGACACACCCGGCTCTGCCCACAGGGGGCTGGGCAGCAGCCTGGAAGGCAGAGGGAGAAGAGAAAGAAGAAATGTGTTTTGTGGCTTGGGGCCTTTTCAACCTTCTCATCCTTTAGGCTCTGAATTTCAGGATGGAAGTAGGAACTGCTTGGGCGCTCGTCTCAACTGTCTGATATATGCCTCCTCTTAGCTGAAGTGAGCTGGCGTAGTAGATGATGTGCTTACCCCCTTGACAAAGCCTGGCTGCGATCTCTGTGCTGGTCTTTCTGCTGCAGCATGCACAGAGTTGCTCAGGTGCATTAGGAGAAAGTAGGAGATGTTGTGTGCAAAACAGAAGTAGCACTCGTGGCTTTTGATCTGAGAAGTTTGCCTGCGCAGGAAGCTGAGTCTCGAATCCTTTCCCTAGCTGAAGAAAGCTCTTCCTGAGCCACCTGGAAATGCCAGGATGGAAGTTACAGTAATCACTTCTTTTTCCCACTCACATTGCTCTAAGTGTGAATCCCCTGCATAATAAGATCTAAGCACACAAAGCTTTGGTAGAAAATTGAAGGAGGCTAGTGCAGTCCCTAGAACAATTTTTGACCCTTTTTGGGACCACTCTAGCCTGAAGATGACTTAGCAGGTTGACCCAAGAGCTGGCTCCCATCAAGGCCCTTTCTTTTAGCAATCAGCTTGATACTGTGTGACACTGTTTGGTTATTCTAAGTACCTCGTTGGGTGTCATGCCCAGTTTCTCCTGCAGTCTAAAATTACATCCACAAAAATGGCTTGATTTTCAGTGCGTGTAAATGAATGAATCCATTAAGAGTGAACTCTAAAGCCTACTCCTGTGAGCACTGCATTGTTTCCGTTTCCCCAGGCTCCCAACGTGAGAGCAGGTTTAGGATCTGAAGCACTTCTTAGTGAGAAAACTTAAAATCTTGCTAGTTGCCTTCACACGAATCCAAATGGTCTTTTGTGCGGTCAGCACAGGCTGGCACAGGCAGTGCTGAGTGCTCCATGCAGATATCCCAAGCTCAGCTATTTTGAAACATGAGGAGGGCATGACCAGTTAGCAGCGTGGATAGAAAGGACAAAATTTGGAGGGATTGGCAGTCTTAAACCTGCCCTTTCAGTGTTTGTGTTGCTGTCCTCTTGAAGACTGTGTCAACAGCCGTTTCAGGGAGTGATCCCACAGCTCCCTGCAGCAGTCGGTGTTACAGCTAGGGACCGGTGTCTCTGCCTGGAGGGCTGCTGGCCCACCATGCCTTTTCTCCTCTCCAGTCAGGTTCGCCACATTCACACTGCCTACGGGGAGAGTTTCCGGGCCCTTGCTAACCCGTGAATCATGCCCAGGGACTGGGAGAAAACTGTCTGGCACAAATCAAAACTGCCTATGACCAGGCTAACAACTAGAAAGTGTGGATGAACATATGCAGAACTGGAGCCAGTGTTCTTTTCCTGCTTTGGTTTTGTGGCAGAAGGAGCCACAGCAGATGAGGGAGGAAGCAGTTGTGATGAGGCAAAGGACTCTCCAAATGGGCTTCATTTCCCACATAATGACCTTCCTTATTTCCCACATAAGGACCAGGTCAACTTTTTATTTTAAAAACAGCTCCACAAACTCTAAAAATTCTGAAGTGAAGAATTAGCAAAGAAATGGATGTTTAGGCCTTTCACTGTCATACATCTACCATGGCCTACTCTATACTGTTACTTATCATTAACACCCCCC